ATGCAGGAGAGCACCAAATGCTGGTAAAAGACTAAGCAATGCCGGTACATTCCTTAGACACGGGACATGGAATAGATCTGGAGAATATAGAAGTTTTAAGACGGGGACTGGGATTCACACCACAGCGGCTGATAGCCGTGGCGGTGGAAATTACTAAGCATCACAGCAGAATAGAATCGAGGGTGTGGAACTGACGAGCGTATGGAAAGCGGTTTTAGATAAGCCATGATTGTGTGGTTGTCAATCCACGTGGAATCATTAGCAAAAACAGGGAGGGGAGTGGAAATCCCATCCCGACCAAAGTTCACAGTATCTCCATTACACAACTATCTTAGCTCATCCACACAGGCAGACAGACAGACAGAAAGTGCAAATGACGTTCAAGAGGGACCATCAAGTGAACCGAATCAGAAGAACTAGAACCAAGGCTGGACTCAAACCCAAGTAGGTTTCCCCATCGGCCCAACACTTGCTCACCCACCCTAAAACACAAAAATCCCTCAGCCGACACCCAACAGAAACTTAGTTTGACTTAGCTTATTGGTTCTCCTTCCGCCTTAAATCTCGACCAACCTCGGAACATAGTCACTTGGCCTGACAAAGCTTTTGTGTCAAAAGCGAAACGTTGTCCAGCAATAAATCTACCGATTGTTACCAAAATTTTCCCAAAAATGATGCTATCTGTGTTTCTTCATTTTCTACTCTCCCGTTCAATCCAGCCCATTCGGATTTTCAGTGCACATCACACGTGGCAGCTGTTCCTTAAATTTTTGATCAATTTTTATGTTGTGTACAAAAAACACCCAACAGATCATGCTGTGTGTATCAGGATGGTACGAAAACCTATTAGACCATTAGATTAGTCAGATTGATAACTAGCATTGGGCTCAACTCCACACGTGTGGTGCTCACGGATTCAACAAGTAACTAGAAGTAACGCCAATGAAGCACCAGTGTCAACATTGATGTTGCTCTCTCCGATGATGGTGATGATCTAAATGAAGAGTTTTCTATCGTGACTATTACTTTTCACTGAGTGACCATCTCGTTGAGATAATTGACTCTGGTCAACTGAGGGATAGCATGCGGATGCCCAACGAAATTCGCTTGGTAGGAAAAGTTGGCAGACACATTTTTTCGACCGCTTTAAGAAAGGTGGTCGCAAACAGTGTACTCAACACAGAGTTAATCTCGTGTGCCTTGCAGCACATTGCTGTTGCAAAAAATACATGTAGTTAAACCAGGCGGAAAAATCGCAACCTAGTCCAACATTAAGAAAGTTTGCAATCTCGAGAAACCTCGTATGTGGCTGAAGAAAGCCATTTAGTATCACGAGTAGATGGGCTAGAAATCCCAAATCTCTGGGATGACAAAATTTCAACATTTAGGCGGGAGAATGTGAAAGTGTCGACTTCTAGTGCTACCTGATAGTGAACTTTGCATAACAGAAAATATGTTGCTTATGTTTGCCTAATTTCGACAGCCTTTCAGCATAATGGCTGTGGAGTTCTGTCCACAAAAGATCTAAATTGATCTTGAATTCGGTGAACGGCTGGAATCATAGTTAGAATAGCGGAGGAGAAAAACATGGAGAACGGGTAGGATTTCACACACCATACGTGTAACTGGCGAATGGACGTTCACCAGTTTCATCCTCATCATCATGTACAGCTGTGAACAGTGTGCATGATGTGCAGTGGCTAGCACTGTTGCGATTTCGTTCGCCGATGATCTAATAACTACATCTAGATGGTGGGTCCCGAGGGAAGAGAAACCTGTAGTGATTCATCGAAGGGTTTGCATAAACTTTATGAGTAGTCTTGCATTAAGAACAGGGTTTGCTACTGTTAAACACATCACGTCTGCGTGGAAGTGTACGCTCGTTCGGGTTGTCGCTGTACCTACACGCCGAGAGAGTACGATGAAAAAGGTGATCAACTGAGATTCACCAGTGCCTATGATACAACTAAGCTTAACCGACTGAAAATTCAGAATTTTTATTTCCCAGTTGACCGGTCCATAAACCCTTATAGGTAGGATCGACAAGTAACGCAATTTCAGCGACCCACCGAAACCGATTTCTACGACCTGCAAACGCTGAAACAAAAGACATTTACAATAATGTACAAAAACTACATTAAATGTACTTTTTGGGCCAAAACGTGGACAAGTTAAACTTTACTGACACATACGGATGGAAGTGCTACGTAAGGGCAAACACATTGACGAATACTACCAAACCATAAGTTGTGAACTTCTGTTAAGCATCAACAGTCCACTCTATTCTGAATCGATTCAGGATGGTTCGAACCCGCTTCAGGACGTTTATATACCCACTCTTCCACGTGATGTGCGCCACACAAGTGGAATTAACGAGGACCTGAGTTATTCACCATAATCAATGGCAATGTGAAGAGGTGGTCACTCTCAACGATCATGAAGGAAAATCATTCTTCATTTAAGGTAAAATAAAAGAAAAGGTTGGCGATTATATGAATGAATCTTGGGAACTTGGCTGAAGCAGGTGAGAGGAATGAGTGACTGAATGACTGAAGTAAACAGTAGAGCAGGGTGGTATCATACGGACATACCAGAAATCCCATTCAGCACTCGGTTTATTTTATATGTATTTGGGTCACCTGGTTGGCTATCAGTCACGCAAGTGATGTTCACTGAGCTTATTGGAAACCATTGAGCCAACCGCAGGGGATACGTGAAATATGCAAGAACAACATTCACGTAGTCGACTCTCTGGTTGAAATGGTGAATACAGACACGTGGTCGAAGTCCAACAGGTAACTTGCGGGGTATAAATCCTAGGTGGCCTGCTGGACGCCAAAACAGAATAGACAGAACTTCTTGTCGCAACAGACATCACAAACCAAATGCCTTTCTCGTGCGCTGACGGCTGTGCTGTGAGTAGCAGGCGGGATTTCCAAACATCCACATCACTGTATGTAAACACGATGCTCTCGGTGTTTAATGACTTAAAGAGTGGGTCCAATTCCGTCGCGCGGTCACTTCTTTTAATCCAAAACGTGAGATGCTTTCTCAACAACATTCAGCAGTGAAGTACCAGTCACAATGATTAAAGTGACGCTGGATTATGCTTATGGGTTCAAAATCTTGATCCATGCATCCTTACACACGGCCAAGTCAAAGTCACGGTTGCACTGGATAATGCGCGTAGTGTCGCATTGAGGGGAAACTGACCCATCAGTCTACTGTTTAGACTGTTTTACTTGATGTTTAAGAAACCTGGCCGATGCCGTTTCCAGCACTTGCAAGAATAGGGGGTTCCAATCACGGGTGTTTTAGTGTGTCTGAGAGCAAGCCACCAAAACTGTACGTCGAACGACGAGTCCGTGCTCTGTTATAGTGACGTTAATTCAGATAGTTGGCCAACACAATCGGAGCTGTTCTTACTCCAAAACTTCACCAGTATTGACACTGTCGCCACGGTGATAGACGTTTTTGAAGGCTTGTCACCAAACGCCGTGTTTGGGCACCGGCGATTCGAGAAATCATACAAGCGACCTAATCCTCCGGCAGGATACAGCTAAAACAAATTAAACCTATCTCAGATCGGGCCAAAGACAACCTGGAGGATGCATGACTGACCACCGGTTGTTTAAAACCGGCGTGAACTAGCTCCACGGGATGTTTAGTAGTAGCATAAAACGGAGAACTAAGTTGGGAACTAATATTTCCTGTCCTTATTTCTTTCGTTCCGAGCGATTGTAGTATCAAGTGGCCTGGCTGCTGAGGATTGAATTACCAGTATGACATGCAGAAGCAAATATGAAATACGTAGAGTGCACGCCCGGGCAGATAACAAACTAGTGTCTTGATAAGATCATTGGATCAGACCAACGTATCAATATAGAGAACAAGCGAGTGAATTCAAGATGGCAACCATAAGTAGACAACTTAGGGAGAATTCGATTGTATGGGCTCGAAGGAACACTTGCCCAACACCGATAATAATACCTGCGAACTATGCGAATATACCGATTTTTTCAAGGCACGGCCTAGTATATTGAATAACCCATTGCTGGTGAATTAATGGCCGCTTGCGTAGAATACAGTCTGAGTTACCTGGGGGACTAGATTCATATTCGGAAAACCTGGATAAGAGGTACAACCAAGGACGCCACTAATACTGATCTGCAGTGATATGCTGCAAACTCACCAGTTATATGTAGAGAAAAAAGCAGAAAACACCCTAGAAGACAGGCAACAGTGACACGAACCGTTCCCATCGTCTTCAGTCTTCTGCTTTAGAACCCAATTTGCCTGCACCTTCGTTTGAGTCACGCTAACTTTGTGGGCAGACAGTGACTAGACTTGCGAGGCACGTGAGACCGCCAAGATTTATACATTCCAGGAGTGAAATGCCTCCTCTGGAAACCATCACGTTGGTGGTGCCAAAAGGTATAAGTTGAGAGCAAGGAGAGGCTTCGGAACACACGTCAACAAATGGTAATTCAGAATACCTTATTAGCAAGAACAGAGGTTGTATGTCACGGGATGTTACCATCTATTTCTGTGAGGCGTAAAACATGCACACTACGTACTGTGTTGGTAACACGGCTTCAGAGAAAACAGTGAACGAGGCATCACGTGATGAGAATTACGAAACTCAGATGCATCCGACACAGCTTCATTGTGAACAAAGTGATAACGACTGGCGTACGCTGATAGAAAGCAATCTTGAACTTCAATCGCACAACCTTTGTGGGTCTACTGGCAAAACACATGCGACTGTACAGCTGTTTTTGTGTCGTAGCACATTAATGATCAGTTACAAAGGAGGGTTCATTTTCTTATATCTTTGAACTTGAAGCCGTATGTTCCACAAGCTATGTCGCCAGCCACTCCGTTAGGTCGAATACTAACCGTACAATTCTTTCCAAGTACACGAGGAATGGGCTGTACATCCGTAACGTGATGCATTTATGCGCTCCCATAGTGGCCAGACGACCAGCCGAATGACTTACTTGAAATAAAATTTTCCGTGTTAATAATTCAGCCAGAATACAGCCGACACTCCAGAGGTCGATGGCGGCATTATAAAACGAAGAACCAAGCAAGAGTTCTGGGGCCCGATAGAATTGAGTGACTACTTCCACGGTCAGTGTGGGATCCTGCTCGTCAGACTTAAACGTTAGACAGGATCGAGCTAGGCCAAAGTCACAAATCTATGTGGGAAGGAGAACAAATACAACAGGCATTAGATGTGAAACAGAATATAGGTGGGTAGCTTGGAAATGTCCAGGAAGCAGAGTATCCTTGACGTTTCGGTGAAAGTAGTACAGCCAGAAAAAACGAAAACGATGCAACAGTGCTGCGCAAACAGAGCCATACAAACACAGAGGACATGTAACAACAGACATATTACACACCTTGCCTGAAAATGAACATCGAGAGACAAATTGTCTATGAAACCCACTGGGTTCCAGATGTCCATACAACAGATCATGTTACGGCTGACATGGGAATCTATCTAAAATTCACCATAATACGACTGGAAGACCAATTGAACCAAAGTATCACAACTAGCATCGTCCGTCTATAAAAGTTTGAGAGGCGATGACTAGGCGAAGTGCCTCAACTGTCCCCAGGGCGTGTGCATAAGGTCTTGAAAGGGTTGAGTGCGACTGAAAAGGTCACACTGAAGATTATTTGTACGCACATTGGGGTCCGTGTCTAGTGTGTGAGCAGCTTTTGTACTCCTGTTGGATCCTGTGCGTAAACAGTGCAGCCCCCCCCCGGACGGTTGTGTGGCCGAGATAGGATGTGTTACAAGCGAAGCTGAACGAAGATAGAAGAACTTATCCTCGTTGTTTACGACAACAATACGACAGCTTTTAAAGTGGTGCCAGGTTGCGCTGGATGGGTTTCCGATAGTTTCATTTCAATATAGTCGAAAAAATTAGTTCGCCTGATTCTAATTTCGGGTGATTAAAATGTGCCGATCCAATAAATTTTGGTAATTGTATGATGAAATCGATCAGTGCGAATCACTACGTGGTTTTGCTATTTATCTGGACTTTCAGGAACGGTCGCTCTATATATGGATGTTCACGATGAGGATTTCGAAAGAGATAATTACATTCTACTAGACCTGATGGTAAATCTACCAGAGATGACATCATTCACGTGCAGGTTTGAAATGGAAGTACTGGACAACGTGGACGGTTTCACTAACCTTGAGAAGACAATGTGAATTGACCAGAAGGTTGCCAGGCTTCAGGTCCCGATGCATGATACCAGCCGAGTGTAAATATTTCAGGCCTATGGCATCAATTAACCTAGCCAACATGCATACCTCGAAGTAGCTGATACGTAAACAACTTCACGTGCTCAATCGAGAGAGGTTGATTGGAAATTATAATTTTATGCAGGTCAGTTTCCATATACTCACAAAGGAAGCATCTGTATGGAGGACTTGTGAGGACAAAAAAACAGTGAGCTTACACATCATTAAATTCAGCGAAATTGTCCACCTTGACAATATCCAGCATTTGAACAACCTAAAAAAATCATGTATTTGACGAAAAGTGACATACGTTGATGTGTCTGAGGTTGCTCAGCAAATAGAGTTCTCTGTAGGCTCTTCTGGCAGAAGCCAAGGTATCAAACACACATGAGATCCGTTTGAGAGCCATCCGCCTCCCAGTCCTTGGATCTACAACCAACCTGGTTAATTTTTTTAGGTGAAGTGTGCTAAAGGCATCTTACCACACGACACCAAATGCTCCATAACCCAGAGATTTCTCCAAAATCAACTGAGTGGATGCATCACTGAGTTGAAGATGTGAGGCGCGTCGGAGAAGTGGCAAATTGGACAAACAGTTCCGTTGAGTCTCGCCGGTTAGTGAAAATACCGGTGTACGAAACATAAGGGGTGCCTCGAGTGCATAGAGGGGTCCGGTTAGGATTGGGGAAAACACCGTATTGAGCGTCGATCCCCATATGATGCGATCACTGACATTTCTGTCAGGAAACACATGCTTAATGGTTTGGTCTGTGAAGAAAGCAGTCGGCCGCAAGATCGGATTCATCAACATTGCATTCCTCGAAATGCTTTGGGTTCGCAAAGGCAGAGGCAATAATTCTCTGAAAGGGGGTTCCGATAGGATATACGTATTGCGCAACCAGCTGAAAACAAAAAAGACTATTGTTTACCTGAAGGGAAAGGAAATCCGCCTATTCCTTCAAGATAGAAAACTAACAGTAACCAAACTCGGTTGGATGCCAAACAATGACTTCCAATCAACATGAAGCCCCTAAAGCAACAATCGTTTCTGAACGTGTCTTCAACAACACTGGAAATGCCACCCATCGGAAGGTTCAGTTGATCATCGTCTACTAACATGCTGTCTTACTCTGCATTTAACGTCTCCTGGAGAGGCCAAGCCGCAGTCCTAGGAGGGCAAAACGTGAATGGTGATCGGGTGAGGTGGCTCTTTTTGAAGACCATTTCTCGTAACGAAAGCCTGCGACTAGCCGCACACCCAGGTCTCCGGAATGCCCTACATACTACATGTTGTTGATAAGTGATTTAGGGGAATTATAGAACACTGATTTTCAATGTCAAGGCACATCAGTCAGCGAGAGTACCAGTGACAGAAATGGAGAGCAAAAGAGAATGTTTAGGCTGGTGGGTAGGGTATTTCGAATAACAATTGGCCACCTGCTATTTCCAATCCGGAGGGGTGGGTTGTCAGTGTTGAGCCTCGTTTAGCCTCAGAGTTGTCTGAGCGTATATTTCTCTCCAAGCGTTAGTGTGCTACTGATCTGGTAGCCTTCTACCTGCTGTGCTCTACGATAATGGTGAGTTCCCCAGCCCTAGTTGGTAAAAAGAGCGTCGCGGACAACTAAGCTGAGTCATCAGTACTGCTCATTTTCAAAAATGGTACTCGCAGTGACGGCATTAACCAGAGGTATTAGTTTGACTCTTGTGGTGACAAGGCTTCTGGTGTTACTGGTTCTTCATCGCACACGAATCCTTAACCCGTGGACAATCGGAATTTCGTTGGATGGAGGCTGCACCGACCACAAATTCACATTCCATCAGGTGTTAGAACAAATGACCCATAAAATTGGTTTTCCTCAACTTCAAAGATGCGTGCTATTCTAACCATCCACCAGTGGTGTTAACCACTTGCTAAACAGGACATTCACCAGAAGTTTGTGAACATATACTTCTGGACGTGTGAGGGTGCATGGTGAGCTCTCAGAAATCTTCTCTATAAAAGGCGGTGTCCGACAAGGATGTCCACTCCCTTCGTTCTTGTCCAACTTTGTGTCAATAAAATGTGAACATATACTTCTGGACGTGTGAGGGTGCATGGTGAGCTCTCAGAAATCTTCTCTATAAAAGGCGGTGTCCGACAAGGATGTCCACTCCCTTCGTTCTTGTCCAACTTTGTAGTCAATAAAATAATGAGACAAATGTTGGAAGGTCCTCAAAACCCCGATGTTTAAAGTGCTACCGTTAAGAACCTTGCCAACTTGAAGTACGCACACGATTTTGTCCTCACCCTTGAAGACGAAGGCGAAGCACATGCCCTGTTGAACAGACTGACCACTGTCATACAATCTTTCGGCATGCGTCTTGCACCTTCAGAGTGCACAGTCATACATGCATTCCGAGAACATATCCCTTACAATTCAAAGAGAAAGAATTGAGAGCGTGGAAAATTTTACAGACCTCCGTAGTTGTATTAGCTCTTATAGAAGTGTACCTGGTGGAGCCAGTGCACGAACTCTAATCATGTTTGCTCCATTTGTGACTGACAGCACGAATGCCACTGACACTGATTAGTCTCCGTCCCTTTCAGTGTCTCCAGAAAAGTGCAGGGGGGTCACGGGGCAAGATCCCGAATAGCGTACCAAACCAACAGCACCTTAACTTTTCGTAACCTCTTTAACACACCTACGCCAAGTCATACGTTGTCCATCTTGCGGTTTTTGCCATTCTGAGGGCTGCAAAGAGGATACTAATCGTCTTGGTAAATTGTTCTGGCATGCGTAGCCCATGGCCGACCAACCGCAGTTGGTAGTGTTGGATATTTCCAGTGACTGAGGTATCTGTCACACAACCAAGTATCCATTTTCTAATTACCTCGTTGCAAATCCGTAGAGGCTAGCAAACACCAGGAACGTTGAGATATTGGTGGTCAAAACCCTGAAGAAGCCTCATATTATCTGTCCGAAAAAGCTGGGTCTCCCAAAAATACAACACTACAACCCTTCTGAATTGAGATTTCGTCCTATGAATGAAGCCAACCAATGCTGAAAAGCTGAAAAGCACAGCGCGTTCGAACCAAGAACAAGCGGGTGATGCTTGGAAGGTATATACATTCGAACAGTTACGAGGCCTGCCGGCTCCATTTTCACAGTCCACATTTCTGCCAAAGGCTGAAGGTTCGGAGGGGAGATGGCAGGTGGCTAACTGAACTGTTCGGAGCACTCTTCCATATGCCCATACGTTCTTTTCCGCTGAATATCCGAGACATTCAGATCCTTGATCGTTTCGCTGCGGGAAGGTGTCCGAATACCCGCTGGACGAACCAACTGCAATAACCTGCAGACGTTTCCAGCATTCCTAACTCCTCTCATCCCATCGTCTTTTCGGACCTACTACGCCCAGCGGTTTGCACGGACATTTTGTTTTACCCGGCGTCGAAAGGTGCGCTGAGGTGTCGCCAGAAAGGATCTCTCACCGGACCTCCAGCAAAGCCATGGTCATATGAGAGACCCAGTACATCATCATCATCATCATCATCATCATCATCATCAT